GTCAGGGAAGGATTTGCTCCTTTCTCTCTCTTCTGGGACCCCTACCCTGCTAGTGTTAGTATGCTTAATATTATTCCAGAGATCACTTTTATGTATCTTCATTTTTTTTCTTTCTGCTTTTCAGCCTCTTTGCTTTATGATACCCTCTCTTCCAGATCACAGATCTGTTCTTCTTTCTAGTCTGACATTTCAGTTATTGTATTTAACTCTGATTAGTTCTTTTTTATGTTTTGAGTTTACGCACTCCAGTCCAGTGAGCATTTTTGTGACCATTACTTTGAACTCTTTATCCGTTAGATTGTGTAGCTCTAAGTTTTTTCTTGTTTGAAGCATAGGAGTTTGTGATTTAGGCAAAAACACCTACCTTTCTCAGTCTTGAAGGCGTGGCTTTGTGTAGATGTGTGTTTGGAGTCTTGGGAGGTTCCCAGGACATACCATGCTGGCATCACCTTCACAAAATGGCTTGAGCTGGTGTGTGTGTCCTAGGGGCCAGGGCTCACTGAGGTGGCATGCCAGCTTGTCTGCATTGTCACAGGTCCTGAGCACCTCCCACCCCAGAGAAAAGTCTAACAATTTCCCCACTGCTTGGGAGATGCTGTGGACTTAATGAATGAGCTTCCTTCACTTCTAGTCGAGTTGCTGAATTAAGGTTAGGTGGTACTTAGGTCCAACTGAAAGTCTTCACCTCACTTTGAAGGTTTTCCCCATCCAGAGCGGTCCTCCATTTTGCCCTCCTGGCTTTTACAGCTCTTTAATTTGGTTACATATAGGGTTTACATACCTCGTCCACCTTTTCATTGGGAGCATTGGTCTGCCATAAACTGCCCCATTGTAGCTAGCTGTGGCATTTTTCCTACCAATTACCTTTTAACCAGTACAGTGGCGTTTAGGAAGATTAGGGATAGAAAAACAGTTGACTCGTGAAAAGCATAGATTGGAACTGCACAGATCCACTTACACAGCTTTTCTCTGATAGAATGCAGTACTATAAATGCCTTTTTTTCTTCCTAATGATTTTTTAAGTGTTTAGTTTTGAGAGAGAGAGAGAGCACAAGCAGGGGAGGGGCATAGAGAGGGCGACAGAGGATCGGAATATGAGGCTTGTGCTGACAGCACAGAGCCCTGCATGAGGCTCAGACTTGTGCACTGTGATGTCATGACCTGAGCTGAAGTCAGACATGTAACTGAGCCACCCCGGTGCCCCTCTTCTTAATGATTTTCTTACTTTTTTCTAGCTCACTTTATTGCAAGAATATGGTAGATGATGCCTATAAAACATGCAAAGCATGTTTTAATAGACTGTTATTGGTAAGGCTTTTGGTCAACAGTAGGCTTTTATATGTGTTTGGAGAGTCAGAAGTTAGATTTTGGACGGCACTAGGGGGTCATGGCAACCTAAATGTCCACATTGTTCAAGGGGATACTGTAGTATTAGGAAATCTGTTGGTTTCTAGTGTGGATTAAAGAGGAGGGGATGGAAAGGCTGTGATAGGAAAGTGCAGACGAGCCGAGAGGGAGAACATACAGAGCAAATAGCAAACCTAGGATCAAACCACTTGACAGTTCCTGCTTTCTCTCTGCTGTGGTCCTGGTCCTGTAGGAAATAAATGCTGGGAAGATACCCATCCAGGAAGAGCCAGTCAGTCGAAAAAATGTGTTGACGCCTAAAAACCAAGAGTAGAGCCAGTACAGACATACTTCTCTGATGAATTTTATATCAGTTCATGTTATGTGAGGAAAACTAACATGGTCTGTACCATGCCTGGACAAAAGCCCGTGTAAGCATGGACTATCCTTATTCAGAGATTAACCTGTCAAGTTCAGAAATCTTAGGTTTTGTGTTAAAATGTCTTTTTTTGTGTGTGAACTGACTGGTGGTGGTAGGTGGTCTTTGTAAAATAGAGTGGCGGTTCCCACGTTCTGTTTTGAGATTTTTGCTGGTAAAAAGTATTCAAGTATCTTGGAATCACAATTCTTGAGCTCTTTTTTAGTCAAAATGGCAGCTACATGAGATTGGTTATTTTAGCAGCTACCTGGAGAGGGATCCTCGGTGATTGTCCATGAATGTGTGGTGGGGAGTGCCCTTGGAGTTCTTGAAGGATAGTATTTGGGAGAGGAGGAAGACCCTAAGTTTCCCTGGCCAATAGCACTCTTGAAAGAAATGCAGGCGGTTTCCAAGGGCGTGATCTTGGTTGCAGTTTTAGCCACATCCCTGTTGACATGCTCAAGAGCCTGATGGAATTTTAGATAACAAAGAGGACCTTGTAGTTCTTCTAATGCGTCTTCACCAGCATCACCAAGGGACTTTTACCTTGAGTGAGTCTCATTTTCAGCAAGTGCTTGCCTAACAGTCACTACAGTTATACACAAGTTACTGATGAGTATGCCAAATAAAGAGTGTCATTTAATGTTATTTTGAAACCAGATTTTAGGATATGAATACTAAGAATGTAATGCCTGATCATTTTAATCCTCAGCAAAACTTACTCTATATTTTACTTTGCTGTTTCTTTAAATATGTAAATAGAAGTTACCTAATTCATTTTCTCTTCCATCACACTTTATTAGATCTACATATTTTTAAAAATAGTGAACTTTTTTTGCTCTATATATCCTCTTGTTATTCAGGCTTATGATTTCATGGCATCTGGTGGTTGCATAATTCTAGTTATCTAAAATGCTGGTAGTGTTACAGATGACTTAAGGCAATTATAAAATGTATTTTTGTAATTTATGAGTAACTTTAAATAGGAGAAAGTTTTCTTGAAGTGTTTTTCAAGACTGATTATCAAAAATGAGAAGATTTATTTCCTCTCAATGAGCTTAATCTGCTATTAACTTTGCAAATCAGCTACGTATTAACGATGGAGATGGTAATGTAAAATTTCTCATATTTTACCAAGTGTCCTCCCTCCTCTTGGAATTAAGCTAATAGGTAATTTTATATATTATTCTTATGGATTGTTTTCTTGAAAATTGATTAGAAAAACATTTCCTGTTTGAACGATAATAGTTTTTGGGTTAGTTTTTTCTATTCACTGTAACTTTTTTTTTTAATGGCACATCAACAACTTAATCCTCATCCATCCCGTTGTAGGTGGTTTGACATTGGCTGTTTGATAGTTGAAGATCCTGCCCATGGCATTCACCTTGAAACGTTTACCCAGGCCACACCAGTGCCTTTGGAATTTGTACAACAGGTTGGTTTTCTCCTTTTTCATTATTGAAATACTGTTTTAACAAAAAAAGCTTTTGTTAGATTTTTCACTGGATATACATTTTTGATTTTGCTTCTTAATTCTTTCCCCTTTCAGCTTTTTCTCTTTGCTTTCCAATTTCTTTCAGGTTGAGTACCTTCCTCGTTTTCCAGCTGTCTTTGAAAAGATAATACTTGGCAACCTTAATCATTAATTTCCTCTTTTGTTTTTATGATTGTGCTGTGCTACTAACAGCAGAAAAACGATTTACCAGTTCTGGTTTTATATCCACTTTTCGTTATCTACCATTTTGGTTCCCTTAATTATTCCTATCTTTTGTCTTGATCTTCCTTTTTAGTTCATCTTTTCTAACAAGTTCCTGGAACTCAGGAAACCCACTTTTTCTCCATTATGGATTTATTATAAAAGGATCTGACTCCAGAATGACTAGATGGAAGAACTGCATGGGGCAGGGGGACAGAGGTTCCATGCTGGCTGGACCCTCCACTTTTCCAGATTTGTCATGTTGACTCAGAAGCTCTCCCAACCCCATCCTTGTGGGTTTTTATGGCGAGTAGGTTATGGAGGCATGTTACCAAGCCCATAGGTTCGGGCTTTCAACCTGATTAACAAAAGATATCTTTGTGGTTCTCAGTCCTTAAGAAACTACAAGGATGGTAGGAGCACTGTGCCAAAAACTGGGGTCCAAGATCCAATATGTATTTCTTACTATAAACCACAGTATTACATGTCCACCGCCTGGTCTTCAAACACAAATTCCTTATAGCAAAACCACCACGAAGGTTTAAGACAACTTGCACATTACTAGAATCCCATTCAGTAATAATTAACTATCTAGTGTGTCATCACGTCCTGTCAGAATGTCCACAGGGAGAGGTCACTCAGGTTTGTAGTCTTCTGTTGGCTTCCTAAACCGGGTGTGGTGGCCTTACCCTTCCAGGCCTGCGGTATAATGGAGCTCAGAGCCAGTGTTAGCTCTTGCCCTGGCCTTTTGAGGTGTTAGCATAATGTTTGGTTTCCCTCATTGGATAACCCATTAATTCGTTCCTTTACCCATAGCTACTATTTACCCTGTTTTCCTTTTCATACTGAAACTTTTTCCCTTGCATCTGCTGGCATGCTTTGGAGGCAGCCGTAGTAGTCTAGCAAGTACATCCACTCAGTCCACTTGTATTCAGACAAGGTGAGGTTACAGAGGTACAGAGATCTTGCAGGTTTGCTTCCAGACCTCAGATAAAGCTGGTGTCACAGTAACGCATCTGAAATGTGTTTTTGGTTTCTCAGTGCAGATGATGGTTATGTTTACACTATATTGTCAAACGTACAATAGCATTATATTTATTTTTTTCCCATATTGATAAAATAGTATTTATTCTCTCAGAAAGCTCTTGTAAAACTGGCAAGTTTAATTTTCTACTTAGTGATTATTTTTCTGGAATTATTCCTCCCATTACTTCCCGTCTTATTTGCCTCTATCCCAAATTAGCATTATATTTAAAAAAACAATATGATGTTTATACCTCAATTAAAAAATACATGACTGCTAAAAAAATTCATTTGGGCATCGAGCAAGTTGTAATTATCGATCACAGATCACTAACAAATAATGAAAAAGTTGGAAACATTGTGAGAATTACGTATTTAGGAGACTGACAAACGCTGTTGGAAATGTGGCACCAATACACTTGCTTACTGTTGCCACACACCTTCCATTTGTAAAAAGTGCAGTACCAGCAACGCGCGGTAAAGCGAGATGCAACAAAATGACGCCTCCCTATGGTGGGCTGTCTCCACCACTGGTACGTGTAGCCACACTCCCTGTCACCCAGTTTTGCCACAGAGAGTGCAGGCACCTCCTGCCCCGTAGGCCCTTAGGAACTTTGTAAGGTCAGGTTTGAAACCATACCTAGAGTTTCTTGCTTAGGAGTCATCCCTGTTTCCACGTCTGTGTTTGCAACATCGAACAGGGGAATGGAAAGCTGAAGTGATCTAAGGAAGAAGGAACAAGTCACTATACCAGGGTCACCCTCCCTTGGCCAGAATTGCAGCGTGAGACCATCATCCTCGTCTGCCCCCTGCCCCACATCCACAGGAAAAGAGAGCTTTTCATCTCTTTCATCCCACTCACGCTCAGTCCTACACTCATGTGAGCCGGCACCTAAATGCCTACACCTGCAGCTTTTCAGACAACTGTGTTTCTGTTGCCCCTTTCTCTTCTGGACCAAACTCGTTCTCGAAGGAGGATATCTCTGTCCATCGTGTCCATTGCTAGACACGGGCTGTCAGGTGTGTTCCTTGCTCTGGAGAAACGCTCAGCCATCCAAATTGGCACAGTATCTTCTATTCAGGTTCTGTTAGGCTGTCTGAACATTTGCACCTACCCCTTAGTAAGGAAAGCTCCATCCAAAGTCAACGTCTGTTCCTGCCAAGGCCCATCTGTAGCCCCCAGAGCTGTCACCATCAGTCTCCTTTGTCGTCTGTGTTTATGGTCTTCCCAGCAGGGAACGTGCTGCATAACCATTTGCATGCTTTCTGTCGCCGGTTGGGAGACAGTTCATATTGGCATTTTTTTGTCTCAGAGAATGCAAGAGGACTCTGTCTAGATTCAGCCTACCTCTGTAGTTATCCACTCATTTTGTAGACCCAGGTAGCCATCTAACACAGGGGTATCTGTTTGTCCATTCCACTCACCTTCCAAACCTGGAAGAAGTTCTGATGGGATCCTGTCCTGCTTCATTGCACCCCTCAGATTCATTTCCACAGGGCTGTGCCCCACATGGGCAACCTTTTAATAGGTAACATATCCAGTGTGCCTTCCTGCCCGACCATATGGTCAGACCATTGGCCACTGCCCTGAGTCAGTAAAAACTGAAACAGGAAAAAAAAAAAACACTGGTAAAACCCCCAATCATGCTGAGAAAATAGTGTGCATTTTAGCCCATGGAGCTGATTCATTTTTACCTTCTTCTGTCCAAGTGATGGCCTTCCAGATAGACTGTCCCCTCACCTGTGGAACTGCCATCCACGGACCAAGCAGCTAGCTCTTTGCTCTTCAGTTGAGAGTTGTTCATAGGGCACGGTCTACATGGCAGTTGGTTCTCACAGCTTTTCCCATGGCTCCAAAGTGAGTCCTAGAGGAAAAGAGGGGCCCTGGTCATGACTGTCTCCCTAGGCATCATGATCCTGTATGTAAACCATTTCCATATTAGGAACTTTTCCTGGGCACTGCTGTCCTATTAAGGGATTCTGCAATATCATCCTAGACGTTATGCGTATTTCACATTTCAAAATCATTTTATGTCCTTCAGTGAACGGGGTGGCTTTAACTAATAGTCTGGTAGCAAGGTAGTAAATGCCCCTCAGATGGAAACATGCTACTCCGGAGTCCCAGGAAATGTCGCTGGATGGCACTCAGATTTCTGCCGTAAGCCTCAGTCTAAGCTCCACATCGGACTGGCACAGAGTTTGTCACTGCCAGCTCACAGCTTCTGCCTCACAGTGTGGGCTCAGCCAGTCCTACTGGTTACTGTATAGCATGGCCAATAAATGATACTTGAAGGGTGAATTTACAGCCCTTCACTAGGCTGGGGAAGCTTTCCACAGTGATTACAGTGTCCATGCCCAAAATGCAATCAGATAAAAAAAAAAAAAAAACTTCACATAAAGCTTGCTCAAACCTAACGGTTTCCTTACACATTGGTACTTCGATCTGTACTTTTATCCCCCTAATGCTAGACTCTATTTGGAGCTCATCCACAGGATATGGTTTTACAATAATAGGCAGGGCACCTATTCCCCAAACAGACATGATCACCATTTGCACATAAAATCCAAGTCAAGGAGACACCTTCACATAAAACTTGCTGAAACAATTCAGCTTCCATAACCCAATCAACCCTTCCATTTTCACTTTCTAATTGTAGCTCTCATCACAGCTTCACCAGTAGGCCTGGTAGTGCAGCTCGAGGGACTTGAAACCTCTCTTCTCCACTCTTGGCCACTGTCTCTGCTTGTGTGCACAGGTCTTTGTATTTCCAGCAAGAGGGACAAGGGATAGGTCTTCCCTCTCCATTGACCACCTTCTTAGTGACCAGAGGTCTGAGAGGTTCTTTGTGTTGTCCGGGCATAACTTGTACCTTGGAGAGGGTGGCCTTGAGGCTAGTGGCATAAGCCAAGCCAGACAAGTCGAGTTGGGCCCAGCATCAAGGCTGGACTCACCATTTTCTTTTAGAGTGTAGCTGTGGTAGAGAACAACCACCAAGGGACTATTGTGCCTTTTTGTTAATAGTTTGCATTTCTTTGGGTTTCCAAGAAATCAGCTTCCCAGGAGTTGGATCCATCTCTAATTTTCACTGGTAACTTGACCTTTTAGTAACCGAGTACATCCCAGATGCTGTTCCATGCAAGTGGTGGCCGCCCCGCAACCAGACGGTCTTCCTCCCTCATTTTTCATCTTTGTTCTTGGCAAGCTACGTGTTTCTATGAGCCATGGCTGTGCAAGCCAGCTACCCCTTCTGACACCTACTAACTAGGTCTCCTACCCATTTCTAGTGTGTGGGAGGGGTTTTCCACACCACCCAGCAATTCTAGGATACCAGCTGGTATCATACACTGCAGCTCCACTCTGACACTGTCTTCCTGGAGATAGTGTCAGATCCTATAGGGTAAGGACTCGGTCCCACAAGACAGCCCCTCCCCAACCTCACACACCAGGGCCAAGTCCAGGTTATCACCTCTGCTTCTGGCCCCACTGCCGCACGTTGGTTCTCATAACACCTTCCTTCTCAGAAAGCCTGGTGACTCATTAGATGGCTTGCCTGTTACAAAAGGATACAAGTCAGAAACAGATGGATGAGAGGCAGAGGACAAGGTACTGGGAGAGGGTGCAGTGCTTCCATGCCCTCTCCCAGCCCGCCCCTCTCCCTCGATCTCCACATGTTCGCCAGTCTGGAAGCTCTCACAGCCCCATCCTTCTGGGTTTTTATGGAGTTCATTCGATAAGCATGATTGGTACATCTGGCCCGTGGTTACTTGGTCACCTTGCAGCCTCCCTCCCTCCCCTGAGTTGGGAGGGGATGGGATGACCAAGCACAGTTGACCCGTGAACACCATGGGTTTGAACTGCACAGGTCACTTACACGCAGACTTTCTACAGTACAGTACTTATTTTCTCTATGGTTTTCTTAACATTTTTTTCTGTAGCTTACCTTATTGTAAGCATATGGTGTACATATATAAGGTACAAAGTGGGTCTTAATTGACTCTGTTATTACAAAGGCTTCTTCTCAACAGTAGGCTATTTAGTAGTGAAGTTTTTGGGGAATCACAAGTTATATGTGGGTTTTCAACTATACCAGGTGGTCACTGTCCCTAACCCCTGCATTGTTCAGTGGTCATGTGTAAGTATATTTTTTATTGTAAGTCCCGGTATCACCGATATTGTAGCCTAGCCACGATAGGTTTATGCCAGAAACGGCCTGATGGTTCAAGCAACAGCTCATCAACTCACACAGTTCAAAACCTATTGAAGAAGAAAAAAGTATTTCTACAGAACTGACATGTATTTGCTACAAATCACCACAGCGATAACTTGTTAGCAAATCGGGATGAGAAGGGTATGTGTGTAGTGACAAAGCAAAAATCAGACCTGCTGATAAAATGTTAGATCCTCAGACATGCCCCAGACTAGACACTTTATAAGTGAAACGTGTAAATGGAAACTTGACATGGTGGAAAGGTTCCGAAGAGCACACTGATGAGCGAGGGACTGTGGAAAAGGACGGGAAGGTGCGCTCTCTCACCACCCAGCTTGTTAACCTGGAACAACACACTGACTGGCACTGAGACCTCAACCCTTGGACACTGAGCTCTGTTGGAGTCGTTCGATTAGGGCTGACATGACATGTGAGCAAGAGAATGAGCTTACTGTGGACAGTAAACACAGGAGGTGTGTGCAGCATTGTTCTAGGTTCTTCTGTAGCCTGGTCCCTTCCTGTAGCTGCTCGCATAGCTTCTCCGGGTTTGTCCTCATCTGTAGTAAAAGTAATCTGAGAGACTTTGGAATGTCAGAGCTAGGTCCAGTCGTTTTTAAAATGTATTATAGATTGATAAATTTCCTTTTTCCATAGGCTCAAAGTCTCACTCCCCAAGACTACCATCTGAGGTGGTCAGGCCTTTTGGTGACGGTGGGTGAAGTTCTGGAAAAGAGCTTAGTAAATGTCACCCGGACTGACTGGCACAGGACGTTCACCGGCATGTCTCGGCGACAGATGATCTACAGTGCGGCCAAAGCCCTTGCCGGCATGTATAGACAGCGCCTGCCCCCCAGGACCGTGTGAGGGAACGCTCGCCCCGGGCACGCAGACTCCTTCGCTTGGGGCCTGGCGGTATTTAGACCTTGTACCTCCCCCCTAAGTGGACAGCTTCAGTGAACGCAGCCGTCTTGATAGTTTGTGCGCTGCGGTTGTTCTTTTTTAGAAAGGCACGGGGTCATTCCAGTAGATGAAAAGAAACAGATCCTTTCTTTGATCGTGTCATTTCGTGTACCACAGTTCTTAAAAAAGAAAATCTATAAATATTTTTATAAGATACTTTGATATACCAAATTTATAAGGTGCAAATTCATGTGCCTGCTACATTTAACTTAATGATATGTACTTGATTTTTTTCGTTAAGAAGACTTAACTCATTAAAGAACGTGTCATTGTTTCTTCTATTTCAAGATTAATCTCTTCCTTCTTAGTTTTTGATGCTTCTTGTGTGTGCAGGTGATCTCAGGTCAGACACTGAGCCCTGTGCTCATAGTTGACCCTGAGACACCTTCTTGCAGGGAGATGGTTTGCATTTCTGTGCATATTTTTTACATGGGCCAAAATAATGAAATTGATAATTTTGTTGGTGTTATCATGTACACACATACATAGTCTAAAAAAGGAAAGATTTTTTTCAAAGTAAGTTTTGGCATTTCACAGATTTACACTCAAACGTTGGCGTGATGGGTTTTGTTTGCCGTGGCTGTGGGACAACTAAGCGGCACATGATTCAAGTGTATTTTACATCAGAAACATTTGGGTTATTTTCATGTAATACTATCCAGTATTTCCAAGTAAACTCTGATGTTGGCCATTATTTCTCTTTCTACTCGTGTTTTCTCAGCCGTTGTAGAGAAAGTGTTCAGAGGAATTGCTTTGTTATTTATGGGATTGTACGCCTCTTATTTTAATTAAGGTTACTTAATATTTAGTTTGCCTTAAACACTGCTTTTCTAACCTGGTGCCATTCTGCCTTTACTCTTTATGGAAGTTTTCAGTGAAACTATTTAATACTCATTCTGGTTTATCTACTTCATTGTGTTTGTATTTAGTGAAAGCTTCTTTTTCCCCCAAATAATATATTTTACCGTTTTTGAATTTCTATAAATCAAAACTTAAATAGTTTTGTCTTATACTTTTGGACTCTATATATGCAAGTTCATATAACTTTTTTGAAGACAGTTTCTTACCTAAGTGTAACTTAATTTTTATTTACTCGTCTATACAAGTCTTTAGATGGACCAGAATTAGCACAATCTTATAAAGGGTATCAAAGCTCTTACCCTGCACTGTCATTACATGTACCGGTTTCTTTGTATTGTTTTGAGTACTTAATTGATCCGTGCTATTTTTTACCTGAGGATGAGAAGCATTAATTTCACAACTGTGGTTTGGTGAAATTCAGACTTGTTTGTCATTCAAAGTAATGAGAGAGAGAGAAAAGACTTGTAACCAGCTGCTGTGGCATAATAGGGATCGAATACTTTTCTCTCCTCTTTTATTGCTATTTGTGGAACAGTCTATCTATGTTTCCTCCATCTCGTTAATAAAGAAGAGCTTTTCTCTACCATGTACTTTTCTCCTTTATTTTTAAAAAGGTACTCTTAGCTAACAGTATTTTATTGCGGCATTGGCCTGAGGAGAAAACACAGTTACGGATGAAGGGTGCCCCTACCATATTTCTGCTGCTTTCCCTCCTGTTATAGCGAATTTTATAGATCCTAAGGAATGTCTGTTTTATTTTAGCAAGTCGCAAATATTTTATGTTTTTAAGGACACAACAACGGACCTCCCTCAGATGACAGTTTTCCCACATTTCTCCAGTTATTCACTTCTTCTGCCACTTGGGTGAAGGAAGCCAAGTGATCTCCCGGCTCCTGCCAATTTGCTGAGCCTTCCGTTCTCTGGATCCGGGAAGGGCACATGTGATCTGGTTCCGGCCTCTGGATTCCTTTCTCGGCCATTGAAAGGCATCTGAGCGTGACTGCCTGCACACATGCTGTATTCCCAACCTCAGGCTTGTTTTTTCATTGTTAGCTTTCTTTGTTGTACTCGGGCGAGAAGAGTAACGTGTGATCTTGTTCACTCCCTGGCAGCGGCAGGCAGGCAGGGTTTCCTTGTGCTGGCATAAGATAACTCAGGTCATCCGTCAGCCCAGGGGTCTTTGCTTTTTTGTCCCTCAAGCTTCTCAGGAAAACCAGACTTTAACACGGCTCTTTACTTCTGGCCACAATACGTTTTTCTTCTGAAGTGCTCAAGTAATAACTGAATTCTCTCAGCTGGTACACTTTTAATTAAGTAGTGTCAAAGACGACAGGAAAAATGCAGGAAGAGTCATGTAACCTCAGTTGACACAAGGTTCTCAGATGGTTCAGTTCAAGACCCTCCTCTTAATAAGCTTGTCACGTAACCCTGGACCCAGAGCTTTGCCACGGACTCGTGCAGTTGGAAAGCTTCAGGTAGTCTCTAGTTTTCCCCTCCTGGTCTCTTTACTACTTCTCCATTCTCTGTTCCTTTTTATCTCAAGGATTAATGAGGTAGAAAATCGAGATGACTGAATATACAGCCAAATGGTAGTGCAATTCTAAGTTTAAGGAAAGTATTATATGCATGTCTTCAAAAATTATGCAAATTCGTGATATACTCAGGGTCAGCTAAATTACTTTAATATGTTGTTGAATTTACTTTGTTCCTCAACTACAAAAAACCCGAAACCGGTATATGTGTTCTCTGAAGCCAAATTGGTATTTTGTGACCCAAGAGATGTTGGGTTATGTATAAATTATTTAAAAACTTGGATTTTTTTACTCCCAGAATATGATGTTCATTCTTCAGATACTATGCAGGATGACATATTGGATAAAAACAATTTTGTAAGTATGTAAATATGTCAAATAAATAATACCTCAATTTATTGCCCTAAGGTGTATAGTGATTTTTTTTTAATGCTAAGTCATATTAACGTTGGATTAGGAGGACCTACATTCCTTTGTCTGAACTAGCTACTGGCTGTCAAGAATTCTTACACGGTAGCAACTTAAAACACATCTTCCCAGTTCAATGGTAGCATTCAGATGTACTAGGAAGCTGATTTCAAGTTCAGAGAACTCAGAATATTAAGGGGAGAGGATAGTCTGGAGATAGAGTTGATGGGCAAGAAGTTAATGGCCTGCATTCCTGAGATCTCTTGACTAGGGGGTTAATTTACCCTTAACCTCCACAAACACCTTCTTTAAAAACACAACACAACAAAACAACCTTGTTATATGCTATTCTGAGCCTGTGATCTCAGGGCGGAGAGTTTTGTTTTGATTTGGTAGGCAAGGGTGTACTTTACAAAACACAACGAAATGTTCATGTGGGTGTTTTGTTTGTTTGCCAAAGGAAAACAATATTGTTCGCAGAAGACTAGAAAAACACCCATTTGGAACCTAGGAAAGGTCCTGTTAAATGTATAACCTGTTTCAGAATTAACTGGAGGAGAAGTTTGGGCAAGAGAAGCAAAATTGACCAAAGGCCAATATCAAGGTGTAAAAACTTACACATGAAGGATAGCTTTGAAATTCTCCTTAATGTGAACGCATGTGAAGTAATTTAAAGCTGAGAGAAAACCAGGAACTGACAGTTACGTGATAAATGCATACTGCTGGTTAGGTAGTGCAGTAGAAACGTATTTTTATAGGTGATGGAAGTGAAACAGAATCAGCTGTTCCGTCAGTATCATCCCAGCAAGTGAGTTACAGAGAAGGGAGTCACATGGAGGGTGTTACCAAACCCTTCTCTTCCAAAGCATCCTGTGTATTTGCTTCACTAAGTGGGCACACAGCTAATCTTGTAAACGTTTGTCGAATTCAACTTCATACCTTGAGACTCTGCCCTGGTGTACTTTTAGTTTTACAATATTATGTTTAAGAAACACTCTTCATACTCCATATTTTTTCCTTTTAGTTTCAAGTGCTACTTGGGGCTTCCCAACGGGTATGAGAATGTATCTGTGATAATTGAATATTCTCCCAAATGCAACAATCCAGAAACTAGGCTCACATTTGAGTATCATTTTTAGGATTAGAGCCAGAAATGTCCTTACTGTCTAGTCTTCAGGCAAGGTACTGACCACATACCTTTCAAAATGTATTTTAATATTTTGAGTCCTCCTGCTCCAAGGGCCACACTTTGAGAACCACTGCTGTGATACCATTCCTGACTCATTCTTAATGTCCTAAGTTATTTTAGAGGGTGAGGTCACCAAGATAGCAGCATAGGTCGTTCCTAACTTCCCCGTTCCTCTCAGAACAGCAATTAACAACTATTCATGGAACAGATACCACTGAGAGGATCAGAACAAGATAGCGAGGTTGATGTACCCCTCCGCCATAGAGACTAGGACCGACTGCGTGGGAAGGGCAGGAGGAGCAGCGACGTATGGGACTCTGTTGCCGCACCACCAGGCCGGCACAGCACCACACCGAGAAAGCCTCCCTGAGCCTCTTGTCCCTCCGTGGGGAACAGAACCCAGGCTGGACATCCAGCTCCCCCAACATTATGGGTTACTTCTTGGGAGCTCCTACTCTAGTCTTGAATCCTAGGTACTGTGGGCGAATCTGCAGGACTTGAGCACAGTGAATTTGATGATGACGGAAAAATAAGCAGAGGCTTCCAACAACCAGCACTGGCACTTTGGCCAACCCATTTCCTCCCTGCAGCCCCCAAGCAGTGGTCCC